GAGTCCCAGGGTGCCTCTTTTAGCTCCCGGCTCCTTTCTGTGCCTGATACTGAGCAAAGACTTCCATGATATAAACCCGTAGATCAAAACACAGAATCGTTCAAACTATGGCCCTGAGTAGTGAAACCCCTTCTCCCTGCAGACTGCATAAAAGCCGCCCAGGGCTTCACCCAGAGCCTTTGAGAGCGCTGTCACTCACCCGTCCGCCCTCAGCCTGCTTCTTTCTCATTTCCGCCTTCACTTGGCTCAGAATCAAGTCCCTGTTACTTCTGCAACCTGTGTAAGCCTTTCTTTCAGTTCCCCGAACACAAGACCAAGAACCTAGAAAACCCTGCACACCAGAAACTCTTCCCATGACCTTTCTTCTCCCTCTGTTGCTCACCTGCCCACCATCCTGGGCCCTGACCCTGTGCTCCTTAAACACCCCTGTGCTGGGATGCGGTTCTGCAGTGGGTGTTCAGCTCCCCGGGGCTGCCCCGGGGCCCTTGCCTTTATATCAACGGTAAAGATACAAAACACCACTGCGCCTCTCCCCCACCCCCACATGTAATCGCAGTCCCCATCATGCTGCTAGTCATGGCAAAGGAAGAAACAGGCCCTGGAAAGCCTAGCAGTCAGTGCTCAGATGGAAAAAGCAGCCTGACCACCCTCCCCTGCCCTGCACCCCTCCCTTCCACCATTCTGCTCTCCTTGCTTAGAGAATCTCAGCCTGCAGCAGGCCAGCAGAGTGCTTAGCATGAGACAGAACACTTGTTTTCAGGGGCTGGAGAGATGGCTCAGCAATTAAGAGTGCTTGCTGCTCTTTCAGAGGACCCAAGTTTTGTTCCTAACTCCAGCTCTGGGGGGATCTGATGTCCTCTTTTGGCTTCTGTGGGCACCTGCACCTATGTTCATTCAAACACACACACATACACACACACACACACACCATTAACAAATAGATATTTAAAATAAATATACTTATTTTCTCAGCCTTCAGGGCTCTGAGGTCACACTGTTTTAGCTAGCCACACACAAGGATAGTCAGTCAGAGAAGTGGCTTCTAGGGAAAGAAATAACAGAACTGGTCTCCACTGCCCTCTGTGCCATCCCTCTCTGTGCTCGGAACTCTGATGGGATGTCTGGAGCAGCTACTGCCATCTTGTGAGCTTGAAGCCACAGCATAAACAGAAGCCAGCTGCTCAGAACAGGGAACAGGATAAATTGAACCTGGGGCCCAAAAGCCTCAGTCAGCCTCGTTCTGGGGATGGAGGACGAAGGAACCACGTGCTTGTTTTTGCCACAGTTGATGGGACTTTCTGCTGACCTTTGCTGTTGGCTGAGGCCATGGACCCTGAGCTCAGAGGCTGAGACTCAGAGGCCTCTTGGACAGAAAATGGCATACCGTGAATAGTGGAAGAAAACATCTTTTGAAACAGGAAGAAGCACTGGGTGGGCTCGGGAGTGAGGCTTACTCCCACAGCCTCTCAGATCACCCACTCATGTGGTGTGTGGCCTGGGAGGGGCCAGGGCTCAGCCCTCTCACCCAGGACATCATGGCTGGGGTGCCAAGGCATGAGCCTGCTGGACCGGACCTCCTCTTCTGAAGCTACCCCCCCCCCCCCACACACAAATACCCGGTTGCTTTCTTCCTTCTTCCAAAGCAGGGACCTTCTAGCCCCATTGTCTCACATCAGCTCTCACTGGCCAGGTCTGGACGGTTGTCACCCCAGTGTCCCCTAATTACAGCCCCTGATGGCACTGCCCCTCCTGCACTGGGCCTTGTCACAGACACAGTGTGCCATGCTAAGTGTCATTTATACTTGCTGCTTAAGAAACGTGTAAGACCCGTCGTTCACTGGCACCTGAACTCATCTAGCGGGCTGCCATGGAGTCTGTGGGCAGCACCATGCCCTCAGGAGTTCCTAGGCCATCTAGGAGGGTCCCATGTCACCAGAGAGCGGGGAAGTGGCCCCTCTGTATGAATGTCCCCTGTGCTCTCAGTCCCATATACTCTACCGGCATTGACACTCAGTATCTGGACTCTGACATCATTCTTTATGTGTTCTGATTCCTTGCTATTTCCTTTCACCATGTGAAGGATGTCTCCCAACCAATCCCAAATCTCCACCCCCTCCGCTGCAAATGTTTTCACCAGTCTTGCTCCCAGAAGCCTCCTGTCACAGTCAGTCATGCCACATAACAATCAACCCTCCCCCCTGGTGAGGGCTTCACTGTGTCCAGGCCCACCCCACGTGTTTCTCTTTAAACAGCAGAGCCCAACACTGCTGGACCATGGAGTCAAGTTTTAGAAATCTGGAGCAGAGGTGGTCGCCAAGCGACGGTTCACTTGTTCATCCCTTGTTCGCCGTGTTCTTGTTTTCGTGTTGTGGATGTAACATCACTTCAGAGTTGCTAGGACGACGTCTTCACAGTGCAAACAAATTCAGCTCACACTCGGTCTACCTGTTCCCAGGACTGAAGTCCTCTGCCCAGCACTAACTAGAGTCTTAGTGGTAACACAGAACAAGACAGCCTGGTCACTTCCAGTCTAGGGGAAGCACTCGGGCAAAGTCCTATTCATAAACAACCAGCAATAATGACTGAGGCAGGCAGAGGCGGGAGACTGAAGCTCAGAGGTGCTGGGGGCAGGGCTTTCCCAAGTTCTATGGGGGGGGGCTGCTGGGGCTGAAACCGCAGGGTAGGAAGAGTGCCTGCTGCAAGGAGCCAGGGTGAGCTGTCAGCACTAGATTTTGGAGGTGTGGATTTGATTCCATTTATTAAAAAAAATGCCTGAGATACACAGTTTAAAGGAGGTAAGAGTCCTTTCCACCTGAGGTTTCAGAGGCGTTGGCGGGTGGTGGATTGATTCCTCCCTTTTAGGACCACAGCAAGAATGGCCCATCATGGAGGAGGGACCCGGTAGAGGGCAGCTTGCTCATTTCAGCAGCCGGCAAAGCAAAGAGATAAGCAGTAAGAAGCTAGGACCAAGACAAATCCTTCTGAAACAAGGTCTCAGAGACCCTCTTCCTCTGATTGGGCTCCACCTTCCACAATTCTACTCCCCAACAGTCCATCTGGAAGTAGAGTCTCAATGGATTAAATCCCTGGTTAAGTCGGAGGCTCCACCGTCTAATCATTTCCAGAAATGGCCATGGACACCCAGGGTGTTCTCTACTAATGTCCTAGGTGTCTCTCAAGTCAATCAAGTTGGCAATCAAGATTAACCTCTTCAATCCCACCGCGTGTCAGTTTGACACCCTAACACACTTCCTGAGGCCGCACTTAACCTCCAAATGAAGACAGTTGCAAGGCGATCATTGGACACAACACGGCTGCCCCGTGAATACCCAGCACCACACCGAGGCTTTCTCCAAAAACCTCAATGGTTTCAACATTGATTAAAAGTTCAAACAGAGGCTGAAAGTCAAGGAAGATTTACAAAATCAAAACAAACAAACAACAACAATAACAAAAAAACCAAAAATCATACAGTAAACACACTCACTCTTCCAGAGCAAACAGGAGACTAGAAAGGAGGTGTGAGGCCATCGACCCAACAGGGCGACCATCAAATCCTGCAGATCCATGTTTTGCATCCAGGGCACATGGTGACATAATGTGAGCTTGGACCCCAGCACTCTGGCTTTGCTGGGTATATTGCACACGGCCTCTCAGCTGGCTTGGCTCTGCTCACTGGCTGTGGGTTTCCTTGGCAGCTGTTCCACGCCTCTGGCATCTCCAGCTCCCCTGATCTCTACTGCACCTTCAGTTTCTCCTCAGTTTCTCACATTGCCCTCCCAGGGACTGACCGGGTACCCTCCACCTGGCCTCCTGGGCTTTCCTTTCAACTCTGCCTGGATGCCTCCATGATCATACAACTCTTCCAATTTACATGCCTGCAAAGCCAGTGTCATATGAATGGCACGAGATCTGCAATCATTTCAAGCAATAGCTGGAGCCTCTGTGTGCCTGGGAAGATGCACTTGGTGAAATGAATCCTGGGAAAATCTTTTAAATGAGTTTTTTTTTTTTTCAGCCTGGATTCTGTCAATAGGTGAGGTCTGATCACTCTTGTGATAGTCTCAAGGCATTTCCCCCTACTACTCAGATACAAGGTATTGGCTTCCTTTTTGTTGGTATTTTTGGTGTGTGTGTGTGTGTGTGTGTGTGTGTTTGTTTGAGGCAGGGTCTCACTGTGTGGCCCTGGTTGGCCTAAAACTCTTTTTGTAGACCAGGTTGGCCTCGAACTCTCAGAGATCCTCTTAGCAACCTCTTTAGCAATCTATTCCTCACTTAGAGCCCCAACTTTAACCACTCCTATCTTGAGCAACCTGCAAGTTTTTCTAAACCTTCTTCTCCCGATTCTTGCCATCAGTATGGCTAGAAGCAGCTAGCTAATCTAAACGGTGAAATGCCTTAAAATTTCCTCTGCCGTACTAATTGGTCCATCATCTTTAAGCTTAGTCTAACAAAGTCTCAGACTCGGGGAGGCAGGGACAGGTTCTTTGACGTAAGGAAACACTAATGATGCATGGTCCAGTTCACAGCAGTGTTCATGTCCCATCTGAACCTTCATGGGCACTGGCTCTGTCCACAATGAAATATGATGACCAAAAGCAACTTGTGGAGGAAAGGGCTATTCAGTCATAGTTCCATATAAAACTTTCATAGTTCATCATCAAAAACAGTGAGGGCAGGAACTCAAGCAGGGAAGGAACCTGGAGGCAGAAACTGATGCGGAGGCCATGGGGGGAGTTTTGCTTACTGGCTTGCTCCTCTTAGCCTGCTCACCCTGATTTCTTACAGAACCAAGGGTCAGCAGCCCAGGAATGGCACCACCCAGGTGCACTGGGTCCCTCTCCCAACAGTCACTAAAATGTCCTACAGCTGGTTCTTATGGAGGCATTTTTTTCTTAACGGATATTCCCTCCTTTCAGATAACTCTAGTTTGTGTCAAGTTGATATAAAACCACACAATACTACTGATCTCTTGTCAGCTTGACACATAAACACATCACTGTCAGACCATAGCCTTTTTATTGTTCTTTCCCAAGATCACACATTAATATCAACATTACAATATGAACATTTTAAAATTTAAAAGTCCCACAGTCTTTAAAATTGTAAATACTTCAAGTTCAGTCTCTTGGGGCTGGAGAGATGGCTTAGAGGCTAAGAGCACTGGTTGGCCGGGCGGTGGTGGCACACACCTTTAATCCCAGCACTTGGGAGGTAGAGGCAGGTGAATCTCTGTGAGTTTGAGGCCAGCGTGGTCTACAGAGCGAGTTCTAGGACAGTCTCCAAAGCTGTGGAGGAACTGTCTTGAAATACGACACACACACAAAAAGAGGTCCTGAGTTCAATTTCCAGCAACACACATAGTGGCTGACAGCCATCTGTAATGAGTGTGTTGAGATCTGGTGCCCTCTTCTGGTGTGCAAGCATACATGCAGGTAGAACACTATACACATAATAAATAAATCTTAAAAAAGTTAAAAATAATATTCAGTCTCTTTAAAATATACATTCTTTTTTTTTTTTTCGAGACAGGGTTTCTCCGTAGCTTTTGGTTCCTGTCCTGGAACTAGCTCTTGTAGACCAGGCTGGTCTTGAACTCACAGAGATCCGCCTGCCTCTGCCTCCCAAGTGCTGGGATTAAAGGCGTGCGCCACCACCGCGTGGCAAAATATACATTCTTTTATAATCCAAAGTCTTTTAAAATTCAAAATCTTTCAATTGTGGGTTCTTATAAAATCAAAAATAAATGAAGTACTTTCTTACTTCAAGAGGGAAAAACTGGCACAGTCCCAATCTGAACAAAGCAAAATCAAGCTCCTAAAGTTTAAATAACTCAATGTCCAATTACCAGGGATTCATTCCCAATCTTCTGGGCTCCTCCACAGGCCTTGGGTCGCATCTCTGACTCTGCCCTCTGCAGCCCCCACAGCTTGTCTTGTAGGCTCCATCTGACCACACTCTGCTGCAGCTGCTGCTTTTGGTGATCACCCCGCAGTACCGGTTCTCCCAGAATGGTGGGGCTTCTTGCTGCACCTGGGTTGCACGTTCACCAGTAGCCTTTCCTGGACTCTTTTCAGGCACTCCAGCCCTGCCACAGAGAGCCAAGCCTCAGATGCTCCTCACGACCCCTTCATGTCTTCAAACCAGTACCATCTGGGTGACTCTTACACTACAAGTTCGGCTGCTATCACAGGGTTCGACCTTGACTTCTGGAACACAGACCCGGTGCGCCTACTCTCAGGAAACACTTCCAAGAGGGTGTCCCTCTTGGAATAATTCTGATCTCTTTATAATCACAGCTGGTTCTTTAGCCCCAACAGGGCAGAGCCACGGATCCTTCACACAAATGGCCCAGCAGAGTCTGCTTTGCTCTACACTTTCCACATCAGGCCTCCACCGTCTGCGCTGCTCTCAACATTCTTCCCTTCAAGCCCCTACACAACAGCCCACTGAGCCCTTGACACTCAATGGATTTCTAGCCCAGAGTTCCACAGTCCTTCACAGTCCCACCCAAAACAACATGGTCATGTCTGTCAAGGCAACACTCCACTCCAACTTATTTTAATTAGGGTTCCTATTGCTGTGGTAAACACCATGACCAAAGCAACTTGGGGAGGAAAGGGTTCATCCACTCACAGTTCTGCGGAACATCCCCATTGCATTCTGGTTCTCTGAGGTTCAACCGGAATGGCCCACTTAGCTCTTGCTTGCAGCATTCCAGGGCTCCACCAGCCCATGTCTCCAAGTTTTTTCCAATTCCTCCCGCAAACCAGTTCTGAAGCCTTCAGGACCACACGGCCAAGAACTGTCAGAGAAGTCACCTCACTTCTCAGCACCAGCCTTTCTGTGTGACTTTTGTGGTAGCGACGGAACGTCTGATGTAAACAGCCTAGGGCCTGAACGGTAGATTGGGACTTGTGGTTCCAGAGGTTTCAACCCATAATCAACTGACTCCATTGCTTTTAGATACATGGGCATGGAGGAAAGGGTATGGTGGAGGGAGCTGGTGCCTCTTAGCAGTCAGAGACAAAGAGGAACAAAGGGGAGAGGCCACACATAGAAACGCCTGTGCTGTGGAGGGAGAGTGGGTGCAGTACAGAAGTCAGAGCCCACCCAGAGGTGGCGTCCATGAGCCAGGCCTCAAAAACAACACCCACCCTGGCTGTCTGTGAACATAAGGTGTTAAATGTTCCAGGCAGGCACGTCTTCCAGGGGCTACACTCCTCCTAAGTAAGAGATCACCAGAGGGGAAGCCTGGGGCTCCAGAAGGCAGACAAAACCTGGGGAAAAGCTGAAGCAAGCCATTCTCTGATGAAGACACAGTCCCAGGGGGTCAGCCCAGGGCCAGCTAGCACTGGGGGAAACAACTTGGTGATCTCCAAGAAAATTCTCACTACAGCTTGACTCTGGGGCTTCTGCTGCATGGCTTTTGGGGCACTGCAGCATCATGTGGAAATAATAAGCCCCTGAAAAGTAAGGTTTTTGTTTTTGTTTTGTTTTGTTTTTAAGTAAGCAAGTGAAAGAGTGAAGATTGCTGAGAGGGTGGGAAGCAAGAACGAGAGGAAGAAATCAAGATCTCTGTTGCGTAGGGAGCTAGAGAGATGGCTCAACTGTAAAGAACAATGCTTGCTCTCCCAGAGGACTGGGGTTTAGATACACACACACACACACACACACACACACACACACACAGTGGCTAACAACCATCTGGCCCCATGTGGCATCAGACATGCACATGGTACATTAAAAAAAAAACTGAGCCGGGCAGTGGTGGCACACACTTTTAATCCCAGCACTGGGGAAGCAGAGGCAGGCAGATCTCTGTGAGTTTAAGGCCAGCCTAGTCAACAAGAGCTAGTCCCAGGACAGGCCCCAAAGCTACCGAGAAACCCTGTCTCAAAAAATAAACAAACCAAACAACCAAACAAAAAACTCTGTTGTGTGGGATGACCCATACTTAGGAGTCCCAAACTTGGAAGGTTGAGGCAGGAGGATGCAGCATTAATCTGGGCTCCATAGTAAGACCCTATCTCAAAAATGCAATGTGTGTGTTGGTGGGGGGGGGGGGGTGTTGGAGAAAGAGTACAATGACGCTTAGGAAGTGTGGGTGTTTAAACATAACTAAATGTCAGCACTGCCTCTGAAACAGACTGGGGAGCGGTAAGGGGGCCACTGGAGGGCGGCTACATCTTGTCATTTAAAACCTTTTAGTACAACAGGATTCAGAAATATGCTTGCAGATAATGCTTGAAGAATGCAAGAACTAATTAGAAATGAAAAATAGTTGCATTACAAACGAAAAGGAGGCCCAGGGGAGGATGCATGCCTCAGAGCAGGGGAGACATGGGGAGTAGCCTGGGCAAAGGCCCCAGGGCCCTCATGAGATTCCGTTGCGCTAGCAACAAGAGGAGGGGTGAAATGGAAGAACAGGTCGGCAGAGGCAGGTGAGCACTAAACACGGAGGCAGGGACTTATTCAGTGAGTGACAGGTGGCCATGAGGAGTCAGTCTGTGACTCAGCATTTTCACAGATTCACCGTTCCTCCTGAGCAGACTGATGTCACTCTGCTGTCTCAGGGTCTTTAACCATGCCAAGAATGAAATGGACACGCGACAGATTAAGGGGAGACAGGCATGTGAGTGGTACCAAAATGTGCGCCGTATAGGAGCGTCCCCCGTCTCACTTCTCCCACTGGCAACAAAGTTCAAGTTCACGTGCTCATGGGCTGGGTGGAGAGTGTGGCAGCTGTGGCGTGGGAAGATGAGGGTTAAATAGAAGGTGAGCACTGTAGACCCTCCCCTCCCCAGCTGTGCCTGGTAACAAGCCAGTTACCCTCCTCCTGGTGCTGGGAGGCTCGCCTCTGCCTCTCGTGGCCTTCAGGCCCTGCTTTCAAAGGAAGAAGGGAAGGTCACGGTGTCCTTCTTGATTTTCAAGTACCTTTAGTTAAAAAAAAAAGAGTCAACGTGAAATACCAGCGGGGGTGTGTGTGTGTGTGTGTGTGTGTGTGTGTGTGTGTGTGTGTGTGTGGCACACTTAGAATCCCATGAAGGCTGGTGAAGAAGGATGCTGGAGAGTCAGCCAGGTGAGAGAGGAGAGACAGATTGTGTGTGTGTGTGTGTGTGTGAGAGAGAGAGAGAGAGAGAGAGAGAGAGAGAGACAGACAGACAGACAGACAGACAGACAGACACAGAGACAGACTCCGGCCAACCATGGTCAGATCCTCTGAGTCTGGGTGGTGCAGTGGCCTCTACTGGAGGAGAACACTGAAGTCCCAAGAGAGATTTTGCAGTCATGTAGCTGGAGACAGAGCTGGGACTGAAATCCCGCTGTCCAATGTCACAGTTCTCAGGTCCCTGACACGGAACAGCTCAGAAGTCAGAAGTGACAGGTTCCCAAGAACTGCTGCAGTCTTGGGGGTGGGAGGGGTGGCTCATCCTGCTATCTGCATAGCCCGGTGACATAGGAGCTCGGGAGGAGGCTCAGGGATGGTTGGTCACACAGCCAGTAAGAACCCAGCAGCAGGTGACAAACCCAAAGACACCCTAGAAGGGGACATTAGTGAAGAAGTGAAAATAGGGCCAGGAAGGCATCTCATGTTTTAGAAGACGGGCCTGTTTTGGTAGCTAGGTATCTCCCTGGCCCCATGGTCAGTTCCTGCCTAGGCACTGTCAGGGAGGAGAGGGGAGGGTTTTCTCTGGCTCCCAGGGAGAAGAGCCTGGATCTGGGCTCCCTTGTCTGATGGAAGAGGCACTATTGCTGGCCATGGGAGCCCTCTAGTGTGAGGGTGGAGACACCACCATGGTTTTTGCCAAGGCCAAAATCACATGGGGGTACCTGGCGCTGTCCTTTCTTTGGGAAATTCATCCAGGAAGCTTCTACACCCTGACAGCCCTGGAGGTCAGGTCCAGTCTGGGGTCAGGGATTTGGGACTTGGAGTCACAGGCTTCCAGAACCTCAATCCCCCAGGGGAGGACCATCCCTCTGGAGTGTCTCTGGGTTCCCAGTGTCCCCTGCTCCCAGAACTCTAGGCATTGACTTGTGTTTTCCCCTCTCTGGGCTCAATAGGAGCCCCAGGTCACTTTTGCTGGCAGAAGTCTCCTAGAGAAGGGTTGACCTCACTCTGCTGTATAGGATGCCTTTTACCCCCTCTCGTTCTTCCAGGGTATCTCAGAAAACAGGTGTCCCTTGTCCCTCTGCTACCCACTATCCATTAATTCCCCCTCATTCACCCATGAACTTGAGTTCAGCCATTATCCATCCATCCATCCATCCATCCATCCATCCATCCATCCATCATCCATTCATCTATCCACCATCATCTATCCATCCATTCATCCATTCATCATCCATCCATCCATCCATCTATCCATCATCCATTCATGTATCCACCCATCATTTATCCATTCATGCATCCATGAAAGAATCCATCCATCATCCATCCATTCATCATCCATCCATCCATCATCCATTCATGTATCCACCATCATCTATCCATTCATACATTCCTGCATGCATGCATCCATTCATTCATGCGTCCATACATGTGTCCATCTTCCATCCTCTTTCACTAGTCATGGGATGAATACCTACTGTGTGCCAGGCTGGTGCCAGCCCAGGGCCACCTTGGGGACCTGGATAGAACTGTCCCTTGGGGGAACTGACAGTCCAGTACAGAAAACATTCATGCCCATCCTCAGGTGAGTCATCATGAAGTATATCACGGCTATGAGGACAGAGTCTGGAAGTCTGGGGAGTGAGACTCCCTGTCCTGGATGAGAACTGTCAACTCAATGACCATTTTCCCCACTCATGGGGATGGGGTAAAATCAGTATTTCAGCTGCAGGTACAGCCTGTGTGAAGACACTGAGGCTTCTGACTGGCCTCCTGCTCCTACCCTTGCCATGGATGTGGGCTCAGGGCAGCAGATAAAGAAGTGTGGAAATCTCAATCAAGGTACAGCCCCTCTCTTCCATTCTCAGGAGCTCCTGCATCATCGGGTTTGAGAGGACCATATCCCAGTTCCCCAGGTTTGGCTGTGACTGCCCTGCCTAGATCCTTGCTTGGTGAGATACCAGCTCCTCACCCACCCTCGTGGTTCCTAGCTCTGTCTCTGCCCCATTTCCTTTGGGTCCCAGCCAAGGTTGGTAAGTTGGATTTAGCCTTTAGTGATGGGGTGTGGACTGTCTGCTTAGGTCTAACCTCTTCCTTTTCCTTCCTAGAGACTGGAACAAGACTGGAGACAACAGTGTCTGAGGATGGATGGATGGATGGATGGATGGATGGATGGATGAATGAATGAATGAGGTTGATAAGCTCAGAGCTCAGGGAGCCAAGGGGAAGTTGTAGTTAGCAGGCAACAAGGGGAGTAGGCTGTGGGCGACTGCACTGAAGAGCCATGGGGAACTGTGGACGGAGAAAGACAGCTTCTTCGGGAGGCTCACCCTGAACTCTGAGGACATATCCAGAGCTGCTCAGAGCCTGTGTCCACTTTAGAGCAGCAGTGGCCACAGATTGCCACCATTTACTGCTTGGGTCTGTTCACTTCACCAACGGCTTAGTCAGGTGAACATCTGACGCTGGGGACCACCACCTTTATGCTCCAACAGAGTCAGATATCCCCCTCCCAGGGAGCTCATTAGGCGATATGTCTATTGTTGATAAGAACAATTGTCTTCAAGTGCACTTGTTATATTTCAAATTGTATCAGTTCAAAGAGCAGGAATTTGTTTTCCCACTGTATATCTTTGACTTTTGCCTCTTGGTTCTCAAAGCCCAAAATACCTCCTTCCTATTCCATCTCTCTGCTCCTCTGTCCAGATCCAACTGACCCCAGGACCACAGCCCCTAGCTGCCTTCTCCTGGACCTGTCCTGCTGCCCTTGGGATTCCCAACAGGAAAGCTGTGGGCTCGGAGCCTGCATCTCAGTGCCCATCCTGCCTCCTCCCTCCTCATCTGCTGCACAGCCCCCTCCCTCACAGAGTATATCCTGGGGATCTGGGGCTGTCCTGCCTCTGGCAGGCAGCTCCCCCTCTCCGCTGCTCCCCTCTTTTTTCCAAGTCCCTGCGGGAGCCAAGGCCAGCGTGGGTGGCTGAAATCTCCTCGGTAACGGGATCTGCCTCTCCCTCTACCGGCCTCCGCCCTTAACCTGCTGCCCCTCTCAGTCTGGCACCTACTGTCCGGCCCTCAGCCCCTCCTCCCGGCCCCTCCTGCACCCTCCTGCTCCCCCCTCTGCTGGCTCTCCATGTCACCATCTGTGGCACAATCCTTCTCTGTCACTGTCCCTACCACCCCCTCTTTCTCCTTCCTCCTGCCTCCCTCTGTCCCTGCCGTTTTCTGCATCTCTCCCTGTTCCTCCATCCGTCCATTCTCTCTTCTCCTTTTTTCTCCTCTGTCCCTTCTCCTTGCCAAGCATCTCTCCTCACTCCCCCTCATTCTGCCTTTCCACCCACACACTGTCTCCTCTCTCTCGCCTCCCTCTCTCCACCTCCGACCCACCCCCCCTTTCCTTATTTTCTATTGGCTTCTTATGTCCCCTGCTCTCTCCACATTCCTGTCACCTTGGGAAGTGACTCCTGCCACCCCCGACTGGGTGCTGCCAGAAGACCCCATTCTGTGTCCTGCACCCTCCACGAGTCCTGGAGATGGGGGATGACGGACGGACGAGGTGAAGGTGGGAAGTCAGGGCTGGGGACCAGATGGGAGAAGCAATGTGGGCTGACGTGGCCGCTGAGGGCCTAGAAAGGGCCCGAGTCCACGAGCGCTGGAGGAGTGGGCACTGTGTGGGACACCAGCTGCTTGTCTGCTAGAGCTGCCTGGCTGCAGAATGTTACCCAGCCTGGCGACTACAAAGGTAGCTCTTGCCCTGTGGGCAGGTAAGGAGGCTGAGCTCACGGGGATCTTGGAGGGTGGGATACCTAAGCCCTTTCTCTGACCAGGTTGAATTTAGGGCTGAGACTAGGGCCAGCAGAGGGTGGAGAGCAGTGAGGGAGGCTTTTGGTGAACTATGTGTGGGCTGTAAGGTAGGAAGGGTTATTAATCCTAGCATCTTGTGCCGTCATTCCAGAACCTTGAAGCCTCCGTACAGCAGAATGTCGGAACTGGACCAAACCAGATGCACACTGCTTTCCAGCCTCCTGGGCCTTCGTGGTGGCGCTCCTGAGTTCCCCTTCCTGCTGGGAGCGGAGCATCTGACACACCCCTTTCACCCTTGCCGCACCCTGGGACTGGGTAAGCGTGACTCCATTGTGGTAGGAGGAGACTAGAACAAGAAGGAAGTGAGTTGTCCAAGGTCACATAGCAGTTTTCCCTCAGTAGAGGACGAGTCCCAGCTCAGGGCCTTAGGGGCTGCTCCCAGGAGCCAGGCCCCGGGCCTAGGGCGTCTGTCAGTCACTGCTGACTAATAAAACCTCAACTTCAGAGGTGCAGAGGGCAGACGGATGACAGAGCCAGGGGTCCTCAGTCTGCATTGACTTTGGACAACTCTAAGCTGGAGGCCTTTAAGGAAACCCAGCATGGCTCAGTAGAAGGACAGAATTTGGATCTGATTTCTCACTCACCAGTTGGGTAATCTTGCGGAAGTCACTTAACCTCTCTCCAATCTTCAAATTCCTCCTTCATCCCTCCTTTCTGGGCTCTGCTAGGGTCTCAGGATGTGAGTTTGAAGTCTCGGCCCAGGGACATCTTGCACTTGTGAGGTCTACTTTCTAGCATGCTTGTTTCTGTTAGTACTTACCGAGCTCTGGGTGCTGGGCTAAGTGCTCAGTGAAGTACTCTGGAGGGGGTGGGAGTTGAAAGAGAGGGAAATAAGAGCAACTGGAGTGTCTTCCATGCCTGAGGGGGCAGCCGTAGTTGCTGTGGGGCTTGGGAACAATACTCACCCTCTCTGTGGGTCTCTCCTCTCCTCAACAGTCCCCTGAGGAGATTCCACCCCCAGCTTTCGGGCAAGCTTGTGCCAAAGATAAACCAGACAGAGAGGCAAAGTCCCTCCCTCCCTTCCGAGGAAGAATTAGATCAGGCATAGGATCCCAGATCCTTGAAGAAAAGGCGGCACCGAAATTGCAGGTCTGTCTTCCCGGGTGAAAGGATGTGATTTCTGTGTTCTGGCACCTGCCTGGCCTGTCAACTTTGACAGCAAAGAGGGTGTCTTGGAGGGAGGCCAGGGTACCAGGAGGGATGCTCCACCCCCGAGTCTGGGGAGGGTTTGGCTGGGTAGCTGTATTCCTCTGTGTGTATGCGTGTGTGTTGTGTGGTATGTGCGCATGTGCTTCTGCAGGTTCATGAATGTTCCTGTGTGAGGCTGGAGGGGCCATCCTTGGAGCACATCCTGGGCTTCCCCGAAGGCATCTGTGCCGGAAACCTGGAAATGAGGTTTGCCTGGCTCTCAGCTCTTCGCTGTGCCTGGCACTCTCTTTTCTCCTGCAGTCCTGAGTGTCTTTGATTCGCCACCCTGTGGGAAAGCTAGAGAGAGGCACTGCGCAAACCAAGTGGGCAGGGTGGCCGGGTGACGTAGGGCGCCCCCCCTCCACCCTGGGAGCAAAAATGTGAGGTCCTAGAACCCACAGTTCCCGGCCTAGGATGGTTGGACTCCAGCTGTCTGGAGTTGCGACATTCTCTGATTAAAAGTCACGAGGCCTGAAAACCTGACTTTGAGAGCCGTGGCTGTGTTCCAAGAATTTAAATTCCCATCTCCAGGCTCCTATGGGTCTGAGGCTTTGGGCTCATGGCCCCGAGTTCAAGAGCACAGACATCAGCCATGCAAGTTCTGCCTAGGCCGGCAGGATAGTAAGGCCAGCACCGTACCGAGGTAGGAGACTGTGCTGGCCTGGCCTCAGTCTGCCAGCCTGTAAAAAGGGATGACCAATCATAGGTCCTATACATGCTCCTTCCCAGCTATGGCCAGGGTCTTGGGACCTTCCTTAGCTCCTGTTGGTGAGGACAGCAGGTATGCTTTGTGCTCAGACACAGGGGTCGTGTCACTTCTGAGACTCCAACTTTTCCTGAAGTCTTCTAGGGTCAGGGTTCAGCAAGGAAGAGCTAGCCCTGTGAAGACCCTACAGGATCCCACAGCTTAGTGCCCAGATTCACCAGACCCAGCTCAAGAGAACTGAGGGTACAGCAGGTTGAGAACCAGCTTGGAGGCTGCTGGAAGCCTAGGCAATCTGGAGTGTAGCAGGGAAGAGCCTCGGCACTCTGCCAGGGGTCTTTTACCATCCTTGGCATCAACAGCCTGGCACTTAGAGCTGTTGCACGTGCTCCCTACTCAAGAGCATGCTGGGAGCTAGGTGCTTCCCCTTCCCAGGAACCTTTTACTTTCGGAGTCTCATCGGAATACCCAAAGCACTCTGTTTCCAGTGGAGGGGTCTAGACCCAGAGTGGGTCAACACGGAATTGAGAAGGGAAGCTTCTTAGCTTAGAGACTTCCACTTAGCTCCACTCTGCAGCATGGAGGTGGGAGCACTCAGGGTCCAAGATCCAAGGGAGCTGCTAGGGGCAGGCAGAAAGGTTCAATGGCTGGAAAGAGATGGGTGGTCAGGCCAATGGCTGCTCTTAGCCTCTTACCGGGAGTTCTGGAAGCTGCAACCTGCTGACCAGGCCCGGTCCCCACGCTGTAGCCCACTCCTTCACAAGACTGCCCACTCTGGCTCCTGTGACTCATTCGATACCTCATTCACTGGTGCAGGAGATGATGGAGTGAGAAGTGGGGGACAGCGAAAATGGTCCAAGGTCAGATGAATCTCAGTGATGCAGGAATTTAGCAGGGGAGCCCAGCAGAATCCCCGAGGTCCAGGCACAGAGACGGTATAAAAGGACCTCACCAAGTGCCAGGGAATGCCCACTTCTGCCAGTTGATGCCCCCTCCTGCCCAGCCCAGTACCCACATCCCTGCAGCTGGGGGGCGTAGCGTCCAGATGCCTTCCAGACTTCACATCACCTGTATGTCTGGGAGGAAAGGGGGTACAGGCACCCACTCTCACGTTCACAGTCATCCCCCCCAGGTAGGGCTTTAGGTAGGGACCCCATGTGATGGCCAGAGTTAGGGAGGTGCTGAGGGCTCTGACTCCCAGCAGAGGTGACACCATCAGCTCATTGCCATCCTGTCTGGAATTAGAAACTGAGGAACGTTCTGGGCTCTGCTAGAAAAGACACTCCTATACCAACTTTCATCTGGGGTTTGGAGGACTTGTCTCATCTGAGAAATTGGAATAGCATCCCTCACGTTACCGGGCTTTGCAGAGTTTCCAAGATGCTCATCGAGCGCTGAGCAGGCACATAGTAGGTCTCCACGTTCTAGGTCGCGGTGGTGGAGTGGCACAAAGGAAGGGTTCCCAACACAGTGACGTTGTGTTCTTCCTCCTGTAGGCCAGGACTAGTCGATTGCTGACCAGCCTCTCCGTGGCCATGGCCACTGCTGCCTATCCTTCATCGGTGCCCATAACCTTGGACCCTGGGAACACATCCTCTGCCTGGCCGCTGGACACTACTCTGGGCAATGCATCTGCTGGTGCTAGCCTGGCAGGGCTGGCTGTCAGTGGCATCTTGATCTCTCTGGTGTACCTGGTGGTGTGTGTGGTGGGCCTGCTGGGGAACTCTCTGGTGATCTACGTAGTACTGCGACACACAGCCAGTCCCTCGGTGACCAGTGTCTACATCCTCAACCTGGCGCTGGCTGATGAGCTCTTCATGCTAGGGCTACCCTTCCTGGCTGCTCAGAACGCCCTGTCCTATTGGCCCTTTGGCTCTCTCATGTGCCGTCTGGTCATGGCCGTGGACGGCATCAACCAGTTCACCAGCATCTTCTGCCTCACCGTCATGAGCGTGGACCGCTACCTGGCTGTGGTGCATCCCACACGCTCGGCCCGCTGGCGCACGGCACCCGTGGCTCGCACAGTCAGTGCAGCTGTCTGGGTGGCCTCCGCCGTGGTGGTGCTGCCCGTGGTCGTCTTCTCAGGAGTGCCCCGGGGCATGAGCACGTGCCACATGCAGTGGCCAGAGCCAGCGGCTGCTTGGCGAGCGGCGTTCATCATCTACACAGCGGCACTGGGCTTCTTTGGGCCCCTGCTGGTCATCTGCTTATGCTACCTGCTCATCGTGGTGAAGGTGCGGTCGACCACACGGCGTGTGCGGGCACCATCCTGCCAGTGGGTCCAGGCACCTTCATGCCAGCGGCGGCGGCGTTCTGAGCGCAGGGTCACACGCATGGTGGTGGCCGTGGTGGCGCTCTTTGTCCTCTGCTGGATGCCCTTCTATCTGCTCAACATCATTAATGTGGTGTGCCCGCTGCCCGAGGAGCCCGCCTTCTTTGGGCTCTACTTCCTGGTGGTGGCACTGCCCTACGCCAACAGCTGTGCCAACCCCATCCTGTATGGCTTCCTCTCCTACCGCTTCAAGCAGGGCTTCCGCAGGGTCCTGCTGAGACCGTCCCGTCGCATACGGAGTCAGGAGCCAGGGTCTGGCCCTCCAGAGAAGACTGAGGAGGAGGAGGACGAAGAGGAGGAAGAG